TGATGGTAAATTCCTTGGTGTCCTCATCGATAACAAGCTGAATTTCCAGGGACACATTCTAAATATAGCAAAAAAAGTTTCTAAAACTGTTGGCATTCTTTCTAAGATCAAATATTATGTTCCTCGCCCTGCCCTGGTGACGCTCTATTACTCTCTCATCTATCCTTATCTCAACTATGGTATTTGTGCTTGGGGTTCTACTACCCAAAATCATTTACGTCCTCTAATTACCCAACACAAAGCTGCTATTAGAACAATATCTAACTCTGGCCCCAGACAGCACTCGGTACCCTTACTCAAATCTCTGAATATGTTAGATATTAAGTCACTGCACATCCTCTCTTGTGTACTCTATATATTTAAAACTCTGAATTGTAATGTCAATCCTGACCTTCAACGCTTCCTAGAAGGTTGTAACAGAACTCATGGGCACCACACCAGAAACAAATACCTATTTGATATTCCAAGAGTTAGACTTAATCAAACTAGGAATGCTCTACAAATCAAGGGACCCAGAATGTGGAATGACCTTCCCAATTATGTCAAAGATTGTACCTCTCTCAACCAGTTTAAGATGAAAACTAAGTACTACCTAATTAACTCCATGTAACCTACCTTACTTCTAAATGTCAACCCATGTCTTACTATTAAAAAAAAAAAAAATGCTGTTTGTTGACCAACTTGTATATTGGCTATTTTCTACCATGTTCCCCCCTTTTTTATCTTTTATTTTTTTTTTCATTCAACACAATTTATACTTTAAGCTCAATTACTATTAAGTTTTAGTCTAAGTGTTTTTTCCCCACCTCTCCTTGCCCGAAACGCTATGCGTACTAGTGGCTTTAGGTATTGTATGTACTACCTCTATCTTTAAATCTAACAGAATGTTTGTACTGTAACTCTGCAACTATGTATGTACTGTTCCTAAATAAATTATTATTATTATTATTATTATTATTATTATTTGTATGTATGTATGTATGTATGTATGTATGTATGTATGTATGTATGTATGTATGTATGTATGTATGTATGTATGTATGTATGTATGTATGTATGTATGTATGTATGTATGTATGTATGTATGTATGTATGTATGTATGTATGTATGTATGTATGTATGTATGTATGTATGTATGTATGTATGTATGTATGTATGTATGTATGTATGTATGTATGTATGCGTATGTATGTATATGCAACCTATTCTCCTGTTCGTAAAGATAGTAGTTCTTGTAACTGAGCATCATAGTACAAAGATTGCCGTTCTAAGCAATTAAATAGCAGAACTTTGTACTATTCACTTTATAAAATCGGAAGAAATTAAGCTAAAAACATACCTAAATATTCCTAGGCCAAGTATAGCACACACACATATGTACTATATTAGGCTTCAGATATCGTGTATTAGGCCTAGGAAGGTTAGGCTAGTATAGTTTGTCTTTGCGACATAAGTAGAAAATAGATTTCCGGATTGTCCATCCCAATAGTCCCGATTTTTACTTTCTAATTTTGTTATACTTCAGTATATATACTATGGTCCTCGTCGTTACTAAAAGCATTACGAAAAGAGGAGGATGGGCTGGTAGATATAATTCTATACATCTATATCGTGTGGCCTCCAAAGTTGGAGGCCACACGGCTGCGGTTAGCCTCACCTAAATTGGCAAAGTGTACGGTATGATGAGCTTGGGCTGGCCGCGGGCGTCAGAATTCAAAAGGGAACAACAGTGCCATTAGTGGCTTCATTAGTTTATGTAACTCCTGTCCCCACAATTGTACACTTACTCTTATGTTCTTTGTACACACATTCTTTTGAATAAGAAATTGAATTTGAATGCAAGTGCCACATTCAGACCCCCCACAACGATTTTTTGGCACTGCCCGCCAGCTACATACTAAATATTTTCAAAACAAACTTAAAAAAAATTGTAGTAATATGCACCACTATACATTGATCTTGGGAAAATTAACATAAATTTCCTGCTGGCAATAATTTTCCAGTACTTACATATAACAGACGGTTCTACAGCTTCATAGGTTTCTCAGGCCAGAGCTCTTGATCAGAGTAAGAGTTAAGTTTTGTTTTTGTAGTATTTCACACCACGGAACGCATAGTCAGATGGACAGATGTATGTCATATGAACATAGATGGATAGATTTTTTTTTTTTTTTTTTTGCAGGGATATTCCTGCGCGGGCCCTAAGCCTCTGGCTGGCCCTCTAAGTGTTGCTTGTTTCTGTTTTACTTGGGCGGAGTATGAGTACTTATTACTCGTATGGTCGCTTCAGTAAGATTTTGTCCCATGTGTTTAACAACTTCTTCTGCTCTGTTGAATCTAAGTTGAAATCTTAATGGATTTGTAACTGAGCACTGTGTTAGATAATGTTCCAATGGTCTGTTGTGGCTGTAACTGTGCACTATGTTAGAATATGTTCCTATGGTCTGTCGGGCATTTCTCCACAGTGCTGACATTTCCTCTCATCTTCCGGAACCTGTAATCCTATTTCCCATGCACATGGGTATCCAAGCCTGATGCGATGTAAATGTATTTCTGTTGCTCTACTGCTCCCTTTCATCAAACTAAGTGGTTCGTAGTTGGTTGAATTCTTGTACCAACCCGCAGATCCTGATGTTGCAACTGCTGTGTTGTGGTCACTACATCTTTTGCATTGCTCTGTTTCTAATTACTTTCTTAATCTGTGATAGACTCTGTGGTATGTAAATGTCAACATTTCTTCTCTTAGTTGCAAGTTTTGCAGCTTCGTGTGCAATGTCATTTCCTATTATTCCCACATGACTTGGCACCCAGTTGATAAGTACCCGTCGGCCTTGTCGTTTGAGTGTTTGCATTAATGATATGACATTTGTGATCAGATGTATGTTATCACATATGTGTTCTTGTTGCAAGGTTTCAATGGCGGTTCTCGAATCTGTATGTATGATAACATGTTGTTGGTGTTGAGCAAGAACATGTTCTAAAGCCTTTTGAATGGCTAGCATCTCTGTTTGTAAAGTCGAACTCCCATTTTTGAGATATATACAAGAGTTGTTACATTCTTGTACAGCCACTAGTACGCGTAGCGTTTCGGGCAGGTCCCTGGAATACGATCCCCCGCCGCGAAGAATCGTTTTTTCATCCAAGTACACATTTTACTGTTGCGTTAAACAGAGGCTACAGTTAAGGAATTGCTCCCAGTAAATCCTCCCCGGCCAGGATACGAACCCATGACATAGCGCTCGCGGAACGCCAGGCGAGTGTCTTACCACTACACCACGGAGACTGTAAACTATTTACAGAGTTTCCTGCTTTAACTGCAGCTCTGGTTTCTTGTCTCTGCTGGTCTACTGATCCATCTGTGAAGTAAGTGAAGCTGTCGGATGCCAAGTTTGCTTCTATATGCATCTGTGCAATGTTACGTAGCAGATGAGGATTTGTCTGGTTCTTTTTTTCCTTCAATAACCATAATCTTAAAGTCTGCTGGCGGAGATTCCCAAGGGGCTTGCATAACAAAGTCTGCATGTATTTCGTCGACACTCTTCTTAGTGACTGTGTTTGTTATATCGAGTGTATTGATGGTGTTTATCGCACAATGGGTCCACCTGTTGCTATTGGAGGCTCTTGTGTCCAGAGTTAGTGCTCCAGTGATTATATCTTTAAGTGAACTGATTCTAGGTCTAGTCAACATCTTGGTCAGCATGCAAGATGGATAGATAGATCAGTATATATATATATATATATATATATATATATATATATATATATATATATATATATATATATATATATATATATGTCGTACCTAGTAGCCAGAACGCACTTCTCAGCCTACTATGCAAGGCCCGATTTGCCTAATAAGCCAAGTTTTCCTGAATTAATATATTTTCTCTAATTTTTTTCTTATGAAATGATAAAGCTATCCATTTCATTATGTATAAGGTCAATTTTTTTTATTGGAGTTAAAATTAACGTAGATATATGACCGAACCTAACCAACCCTACCTAACCTAACCTAACCTATCTTTATAGGTTAGGTTAGGTTAGGTAGCCAAAAAAGTTAGGTTAGGTTAGGTTAGGTAGGTTAGGTAGTCGAAAAACAATTAATTCATGAAAACTTGTCTTATTAGGCAAATCGGGCCTTGCACAGTAGGCTGAGAAGTGAGTTCTGGCTATTAGGTACGACATATATATATATATATATATATATATATATATATATATTTAAATGGAATATATATATATATATATATATATATATATATATATATATATATATATATATATATATATATATATATATATATATATATATATATATATATATATATATATATATATATATATATATATATATATATATATATATATATATATATATATATATATATATTTTAAATGGAAGGGAGTACCACCTCTAGCTGGAAGAAGGGGGACCCATAGCCTCGGAGGAAACCACGCATAACGCATTAGAGGGAATGTTTAGATCCCCTCCAATACAGTTTCTGTGTGCTTTTCTCCTACCACCCCCTTCCTTTTTTATTTTTTGTGCTTTATTATGCATTTGATGGTTACAAGATATACATGGGTTGATACAAAAATAATAATGCAAAAAGGTGATTAAAGGTTATGGATCTCTTGAAAAACACAACAATGGGAAACATTGATGAATGTCACAGACGGGTTCGATCATTGTTGCAAGTCAAACACTTCTTCGAATTCCTCTGAAGTTGAACTAGTGCCCAAGACGCAACAGGCATTTCCCCTCTGAATCGCAACACTGAGGCGCTGGAACAAGAAACTTTTTGCTCTCTGGTCTTTTGTAGCGCTGATCAATTTGTCCCCCAATTCCTTCAGGAACTTCAATGCACATATATATATATATATATATATATATATATATATATATATATATATATATATATATATATATATATATATATATATATATATATACATACAGGCTCCCTATCGCCGACAATGGGAATTGCCGCAGCTGTTTGGTATATTGTTGCGCACATACAACCTGCGGGCGGCAGACAGCCTCACAACTACTGCGTCTCCCCTGATGTGTGGTGGTTCCTGGACCCACTTGTTCAATTATATTTACTGTGAGTTATTGTCAATGTTGCCCAGAACGCTTATGTGTCTTACTGGCTTTGTGTGCCAGTTTTTATTATTATTATTATTTTTATTTGCAGGGCCCTAAGCCTCTGGCTGGCCCACTAAGTGTTACTTGTTTCTGTTTTACTTGGGCGGAGTATGAGTATTTATGACTCGTATGGTCGCTTCAGTAAGATTTTGTCCCATGTGTTTAACAACTTCTTCTGCTCTGTTGAATCTAAGTTTATATATTATTGGGTTGGTAACTGTGCACTGTGAGAGGTGACACTTCACCACCGACATAAGAACCTTCACAGCCCATGTGCCGTCTATATATATCTATACAAGAGAAAATGTCTGTCTCTTCGTGTCTGTGTAAAGCTGGAGGCCAGACACTTGGTGCCAGCCTTACCCAAATGTGTAGGGGGAGTGGTCTGGGGTGCGAGACGGACACAGGCTGGTCGGGGTAAACCTAGGTTAAATGATTTAAGAAATATTAGTAATTATTGACACCAATTAATTATCCATCCATTTCTCACAGATTCAGTTTTGGTGAAGTGCGAAATATTGGTTGAGCCCTGAGAGTTTCTCGCCATACAAAATTATTTCGATCCATACAGTAGTTTCATTGCTCCCTTATATTATATATAATAAGAGAGGGGGAATAAGAGACCCATATTGTTTGATGATTGATTGATGAAGATTAAGCCACCCAAAAGGTGACACGGGCATGAATAGCCCGTAAGTGGTGGCCCTTGTGAGCCATTACCAGTATCAATAGATGATACTGGAGATCTGTGGAGGTGCGGCTGCACCCTGCGTGACGGGAGATGTCTCCCGTGGCCATATTGTTTCAGTGGTTCTTAATAATAAATGTGAGAGACGGGGAAGGGGGACCAGGGGAATGAGGGGGGACAAGGAGTGCCATGGGGATGGGGGGGGTCAAAGGGGAGATGGGAGAACAGGGGTGAAATGGGGGTCGGGGAAGAGACCGACTATCTCGGGCACCGCCAGGTACCTCTCCTAGTGTGTGCATATATGTATATATACACATTATATATTAATATTTATATATATATATATTTATATATATTAAATTTAATAAAGTATTTCATGCACCTGGACCGTTTATTTGTAATAAAGTATGTTCACTTCCTATTATTTTGAATTAATTATCTTTATACTTTGCATACTTTGACTAGTGCATTAAAATAAACTACGGCAGATTTTTTAGGCTCGAGATATGAAGCTGTATTCTCCCGACACAATGAATTATATTATTATAATTATTATTCTTCCTATTATTATTGTTATTGTCATTATTATTATTATTATTATTATTATTATTATTATTATTATTATTATTATTATTATTATTATTATTATTATTATTATTATTATTATGTGTGCTAAAAATAACTCGATTGTCAACCAGCCCGCTCTCGGGAGCGTTCCCAACGTCAATAAACTGTCGTACTAAAATAGGCTTATCCTAACCTAAGCGAGGACCCAAAACAGAAAACGGGACATTATGTCAATTTCGCAACCCGCTACCATTTTCTAGTACGACAGTTTTTGGCCTTAGGGTAGAGTATACGTCAAAATGCGACGTGCTATTACGAGGCCGGGTTGATCAACATAGCTAAAACTATTTGCGTTTGTATTGTCTGCGTTCACTATGTGTGTTCTCCATGCCTTGGCGTTCACCTGGTTTGTTTAATGTAGAATGCTGTCTGAATCCTTGCTAGGCTTTGGAACACTGTCAAAGTACTTGCTAGGCTTGGAACACTGCCAAAGTACTTGCTAGGCTTTGGAACACTGTCAAAGTACTTGCTAGTCTGGATATTGCCGTATTCTTGCCTAGCACTAATCAGTAGGACTACAGGAGTGTTTCTTGCCCATATATTATTTGTGTTCATCCGAGAATTTCGCGAGTAAATCAGTGTGTTGTGTGTTACAGAGACGCTGAACAAGGTGAGGAGGAAGATCCTGTAATGTGCCACAGTTGGTTGATGTGTCTCACAGCAGCGTCGTGCCTGGCCCTGGCTGCTGCTGCTGCTCCCAATATTGTCTTCATCTTCGCTGATGACTTGGGTGAGTCCATTACTGACGACCTGGATGAGTTCATTGCTAATGCCATGGTGGAGTCCCCTACTGATGATCTAGGGAAATTCCTCAGTGGACTAGTATCAGTAAAGCAACTTTTTCATGGTATTGGCAGTTATTCAAGATATTTAATAGGGGGAGGATGTTGAGGGTAACATCATCCGCAGCTTTAAACATCGCCGTAACAAGAGGAGGGCCGCGTCTCACGGCCTCATAAGTGGGACTCCCAGGAGCAGAAACTTGACCTCTGGAAATACATCTAGGTAACAAGTAGACAAGAACAAACACACACACACACATGTGTGTATGTGTAAATGTGCGCTGATCCTGTAAGAATACAGGATCGGCGTTTGATTACCGATGATTCAAGTGTTAGGGCACCGTTCCCTCAGTCCGTCCGTAGTCCCTGGTGTCTTGGTGGTAACTCACCACCCTGAACTTCGGGAGCGATTTGGTCCAGGTTCGTATCCTGGGCGGGGAAGTGACTAGGCGCCAATCCTTAACTGTACGCCTCTGTTCACTGAGCAGTAATTAGGCACCTGGTTATTAAACTATTAGCGGGTCGTATTCTAGAGAAACTAGTGGGTAAGATCTATCATGAGGTATGGCACGGGAGAGCTCCCGCCAGCTTGCTAATAGGAGTTAGAGGTCGTCTGTCTCCGTGTAAACAAATGCATCTTCCAAGTGCTACATAGTCATATTGGATTAGAGCTTCCTCCTGCAACCCGTCCTCAAGCCAAGTCCATTCCATCCAGCGGTCGACCCCAAAGACGGATTCATCAGTTTTATCATTCTGTTCCTTCCAAATAAGAGTTTTCTCAAATATAAATTAATATTGTTGTATTTAATAATTCATTGTGTCGGGAGACAGGAAGTCAGGTAATACATATAGTACATGCAAGCGATGAATCACAGTAACGTGGCTGATGTATGTTGACCAGACCACACACTAGAAGGTGAAGGGACGTCCTGGACCATTCTCAATCGACTTGAGAATGGTCCAGGACGGACCGAAACGTCGTCGTCCCTTCACCTTCTAGTGTGTGGTCTGGTCAACACGTATAGTACATGTTAGGCTAATACTGAGGTCCCCCCCCGGGTCGAACTAATTCCTAGGTACCTACTTACAGCTAGGTGGACAGGGGCATGAGGTGAAAGGAAAAGCCCCAACTATTTCCAACCCGTCCTCGACTCAAGTCCATTCCATCCAGCGGTCGACCCCATAGACGCATTCATAAATTGTAACATGCTGTTCATTCAAAACGGGAATTTCCTCTAATATAAATTAATATTATAATATATTAGCATATTGTGCATATATATAAGCACAGGTTAGGTTAGGTTAGGTGTTTAGGTTCTGTTGTCGATTATTTGTATTTGTATTACGTTGGTGAAGCATTTACAGCGATGTGGTTCAAACAAAAGTCGCTAGCAAAGCACTTGATCGAACGTCATCAGTTGTGAGTTGATTGTAAACTGTTTATCATTTATAAACAAGGTGTTTGATGGGTGCTTGGAATGGGCTTTGGTCTTTGTGTACGAGGACGGGCTGCCTCCTGAGAGTCAGCTTACCGTGTTGCAGGGTGGCATGATGTCTCGTGGCATAACGAGGAGGTAGTGACCCCCAACATGCAGGAGCTGGTGGAGAGCGGGGTGATGCTGGAGCAGAGCTACGTCCAGCCGCTCTGTACACCCTCCCGCTCCGCCTTCATGACTGGCTTCTACCCATTCCGCATGGGCAGACAGGCAAGTCACTAACTGATCATTATAACCATTTCTCTCATAAATATAATAATTAAAATTTTATTTATACAGATGTTACATAGAGTACGAATACTTGGCCCACTTTGTATATATTGGTATTTTGTATAACGGCACTAATCACACGCGGTGTTTTGGGGTCAGCAAAACACCTTGGATTATAACAATTATAATATAAGATAATATAAAATAATAAATAATCTAAGATTATTTTAAAAACAACTGAAAAAATATCATCAGAGCAAATGGAAGGACCTTTGACAAGCCGCCGGCTTCCTGTCCTCGTCGAGGCCACTAGTATTAGTGGCCCCTCAGGTAAATTCAAACAAATAACAGTACGGCATTTTGGTACCTTGAGTCTGATAGCACAGTACTTTGAGCCTATCAGTACGGTGGTGCTTTGAGTCTGACTGTATATATACGGTACTTAATAATTAAGCTAGACAACGTGTGTTTAAGTCTGTCCTCCAAGAATGGTAGTACCTAAATATAGTTATTATGGACGGACGTACAAAATATGGACTGTTATACCCAAGAAAAATTCACGTTTTGCACTATTCATTTTGCAGAGTGCTCGGGCAAGAAGGCCACATCCAGACTTAACTTTTCTTGTGACTAGCATAGCATATATATGCTATACTAATCTATATATATGTCACATACCATATATATGCTATACTAGTCTATATATATGTCACATAGCATATATATGCTATACTAATCTTAGGCTAGTTAAGCCTAAGATTGCTTACTAAAGGTCTAGAACAGGTCATGTTAGGTTTATAGTTAGTCTGTTTCAGTGTTTCTTGCCTCCTTTAAAATTAATTAGAACACAGCTTAAACATTCGTGGTATAAGAGTGCATATCAAGTTCAAGTATGTTTATTAAGACAAGAAAAAATACATCTCAAAGGGATAGCGTAGCTTAGGCTATTTCTACACCCTTTGTCAATCCTTCCGGTGTCTGGGTCTGGTAAGGTTCCCCGTCTTCGAGAGTACATATTTTGTACATTCCATCCCTAGGTATAAGTGCCATAATTTTTGGATGACAGGTTGCTAAAATACACGTTGTGTCAGGACCCACACTGCTAATATTCTATGAGGATGATCGAGTTGACACATAATCTGTCCGTATACAATGCTATTATCCGCCATCTTCCTACAGTGGACGACACAATGCTTGACAAATGCACAAAGTTCTGTTCATTTCTATTTCCTGCTCTAAGGCAATTAATACAAATATTATTTAAGTACTGTCAAGTAACCGATAGATTCTAAAATGCATCAGTTCTTTATTACTCCACTAATCTATATGCTGCTCTAGCAGTTTTGGTTTAAAGTATAACCAAGTACATACGAGAATGATTTAGACCACGTAATTACACACTTAATATTACAGTTTTCATTATACAAATGTTAACATTGTCTGACCTTCACTGACACAGGGAAGACCTCTAGCACACTCTGACCCGACAGGCCTCACCCTGGAGAAGACAATCTTCCCAGAGACGCTGGCTCAACTAGGTTATGCGACGCATGCGGTTGGAAAGTAAGTTTCATAAATTGTATTATATATATATATATATATATATATATATATATATATATATATATATATATATATATATATATATATATATATATATATATATATATATATATATATATATATATATATATATATATATATATATATATATATATATATATATATATATATATATATATATATATATATATATAATATATATTATTAAATATGACCGAAAAAGTAAGATTAATTATTCTAACACGAATTTCCTCAATATTTCTTATATTTCTTTTCACTGTTGATGGTAACTGAAAAATCAATTCTCCAAAATTCATTTTTATTTCTAGTCTGATGCGACACTTGAACGTGTTTCGCAATAACTTATTACATTTTCAAAGACTTTAGTTTACACACACACAACTATAACTAGAGTTCAAACAGCTTCGATTTTATATCTGCATTTGGGTGAGGTGATATGTTACAACAGTTTTGGATGAGGTGAAAACAAACTTTCAACACAAGACAACACGAAACAATGGGTATAATATTTTGTAAGTTAAAGGGAAGAATGGAAGTAACTGCAAAGGGCCTATTGGCCCATATTTCTTGATGCTTCTATATTGGTGCAGAGTCTTGAAGTGGGTAGAATATAGTTGTGCATTAATAATTGGCTGTTGATTGCTGGTGTCGACTTCTTAATGTGTAGTGCCTCGCAGATATCAAGTCGCCTGCTATTGCTGTATCTATCGATGATTTCCGTGTTTTTTGTTAAGACTTCCTTGGTGATGGTCTGGTTGTGGGAAGAGATTATATGTTCCTTAATGGAGCCCTGTTGCTTATGCATCGTTAATCGCCTGGAAAGAGATGTTGTTGTTTTGCCTATATACTCAATTCTTTGAGGCTTACAGTCCCCAAGTGGGCATTTGAAGGCATAGACGACATTGGTCTCTTTTAAAGCGTTCTGCTTTGTGTCTGGAGAGTTTCTCATGAGTAGGTTGGCCGTTTTCTTGGTTTTATAGTAGATCGTCAATTGTATCTTCTGATTTTTGTCTGTAGGGATAACGTTTCTATTAACAATATCTTTCAGGACCCTTTTCTCCATTTTATGAGCTGTGGAAAAGAAGTTCCTGTAAAATAGTCTAATAGGGGGTACAGGTGTTGTGTTAGTTGTCTCTTCAGAGGTTGCATGGCGTTTCACCTTCCTTCTTATGATGTCTTCAACGAAACCATTGGAGAAGCCGTTGTTGACTAGGACCTGCCTTACCCTACAGAGTTCTTCATCGACTTGCTTCCATCCTGAGCTGTGGCTGAGAGCACGGTCGACATAAGCGTTAACGACACTCCTCTTGTACCTGTCTGGGCAGTTACTGTTGGCATTGAGGCACATTCCTATGTTTGTTTCCTTAGTGTAGACTGCAGTGTGGAAACCTCCACTTCTTTCCATGACTGTTACATCTAGAAAGGGCAGCTTCCCATCCTTCTCCATCTCGTAAGTGAAACGCAACACAGAATTCCGCTCAAATGCCTCCTTCCGCTTCAAATGCTCCTGCAGATGTCTGACATCAGGTACCTGTGTAAAAATGTCGTCAACGTACCTGCAGTATATGGCCGGTTTCAAGTTCATGTCGACTAAGACCTTTTGTTCGATGGTACCCATGTAGAAGTTCGCAAACAGGACACCTAGGGAAGAACCCATGGCGACCCGATCTACTTGCTTATACATGTGCCCATCCGGGCTCAAGAAGGGTGCCTCTTTAGTACAAGCTTGGAGTAGTTTCCTTAGAATGTTTTCTGGTATGTCAAGAGGAGGACAGGCCGGATCACGATACACTCTGTCCGCTATCATCCCGATTGTTTCATCCACAGGTACGTTGGTAAACAGTGATTCTACATCCAACGAGGCTCTTATCCCTGTGGCCCTGTTCCCCGCAGTAAGTCAACAAATTCCTTTGGAGACTTCAGACTGAAGGTGCAAGGGACATAAGGAGTCAGCAAGCCGTTGAGTCGCTTCGCCAGTCTGTACGTGGGTGAGGGTATCTGGCTGATGATTGGCCGAAGTGGGTTTCCAGGCTTATGTGTCTTGACATTTCCATACGCGTATCCAGGCTTATCTTCCCCAATAATCTTTGGAAGGTGGAGTCCGGATTTCTTGGCGTTCACAGTTTCAATCAATTTGTTGACCTTTGCTTTCAATTCGGCTGTAGTGTCCTTTGTTACCCTTTGGAATTTAGTTTGGTCAGAGAGAATGAGGTTCATTTTGTCCAGATATTCATCTTTTTTAAAAATGACGTATATTGGCGACTTGTCACCTCTCCTGACGATTATCTCCTTGTTCTCACGAAGGCTCTTAGCTGCCGCTTTGAGCTCGGGGGACAGTATGGTGCTTCTGTAATTGCCTCGATTCTTTCCTCCTTCCGCAATAAGTTCTGCTTGTGAGGTGTCTTTGGTGGTGACCTTCTTTTGTGTCTCGAGGTCGAATATGTCGTCTAACAGGATCTCCAACTCCACTTTCCGGGCCATCTCACTTGGTCTGGACACAACGTGACAGTTTATACCCAGATTTAGGAGTTGTGCTTGACACGTGTTGTGCATGTACCTCGCCCTGCCCTGGTGACTCTATTACTCTCTCATCTATCCATATCTCAACTATGGTATTTGTGCTTGGGGTTCTACTACCCAAAATCATTTACGTCCTCTAATTACTCAACACAAAGCTGTTATTAGGACAATATCCAACTCTGGCCCCAGACATCACTCGGTACCCCTACTCAAATCTCTGAATATGTTAGACATTAAGTCACTGCACATTCTCTCATGTGTATTATACATATATAAAACGCTAAACTGTAGTGCCAATCCTGACCTCAAAAGCTTCATAGAAGGTTGTAACAGAACCCATGAGCACCACACCAGAAATAAATACAGTTTTGATATTCCTAGAGTACGACTTAATCAAACTAGAAATGCTCTACAAATCAAGGACCCAGATTGTGGAATGACCTTCCCAACCATGTTAAAGACTGTACCTCTCTCAACCAGTTTAAGATAAAAACGAAGCTATACCTAATAAATTCCCTGTAACCTACCTTACCCCTCTATTGTCAACCAATGTCTGTTTTTTTCAAAGAGCGCTGTTTGTCGACAGAATTGTAATTGTGCTGCTTTTTCAGCTATGTTTTCATTCCATGTTTTAATTTTATTCTTTATGCTCAATTAGTATTAAGCTTTAGTCATTTAAGTTTTTCATGCCCGAAACGCTTTGCGTAATAGTGGCTTTAGGCATTGTATGTACTAGCCCTATCTATAAATCCATCACTCTTTGTAAAATCTCTTGTATGTATGTACCTTACCTAAATAAACATTTGATTTGATTTGATTTGATTTGATTGGTTTGATGTGTCAAGGCCACAATTTGTAATCATGTAACCCTTGTACAATATATATATATATATATATATATATATATATATATATATATATATATATATATATATATATATATATATATATATATATATATATATATATATATATATATATATATATATATATATATATATATATATAAAATAAAATGTTTATTTAGGTAAGGTACATACATACAAGAAATTTTTACAAAGATTGGTTGACTTATAGGTAGAGCTAGTACATACAATGCCTAAAGCCACTATTATGCAAAGCGTTTCGGGCATGGATATGAAAGGGCATATGCATGAAAGTATATATATATACTTTATTGTACAAGGGTTACATGATTACAAATTGTGGCCTTGACACATGGACAACACAACCAATAAAAGTAAAATGAAAAACCCACCAAGGGGGATACCTTAATAAATGTCACGGACATTCGATCACTGTTGCAAGTTAAACACTTCTTCGAATTCCTCTGAAGTTGGACTCGTGCCCAAGATGCAACAGGCATTTCCCCTCTGCATCGCGACACTGAGGCGCTGGAACAAGAAGCTTTTCGCTCTCTGGTCTTTTTTGTAACGCCGATCAATTTGTCACCTTTTTTATATTATACAATGGAGGAAAGAGTCCTGAAAGATATTATTGATATATATCACTTATATATAATCAGTGTATATGTAATCACCAAGGCATTGAAAGCAGCCTTTATCTATCTTTACAGGTGGCATCTGGGCTTCTGTGATTGGTCCTACACACCGACCCACCGAGGCTTCGACACCTTCTACGGGTTTTATGGTGGCGTCGAGACCTACTTCTCGCATACTGAAAAGAGTTAGGTTTAATTTCTCCATTTTCATGTATGCCCGGATTCCTTTATTCCACACATATTTATTATTAATTTAATATTAATTTATTATTTGATTAACGTCACCCACAAAGTGTGGTAGAGTATGTGAGTCAGGTCATCCACATAGTGTGGTAGAGTATGCGAGTCAGGTCACCCACATAGTGTGGTAGAGTGAGTCAGGTCACCCACATAGTGTGGTAGAGTGAGTCAGGTCACCCACATAGTGTGGTAGAGTGAGTCAGGTCACCCACATAGTGTGGTAGAGTGAGTCAGGTCACCCACATAGTGTGGTAGAGTATGCGAGTCAGGTCACCCACATAGTGGGTTTAGAGTATGCGAGTCAGGTCACGCACATAGTGTGGTAGAGTATGCGAGTCAGGTCACGCACATAGTGTGGTAGAGTATGCGAGTCAGGTCATCCACATAGTGTGGTAGAGTATGTGAGTCAGGTCACCCACATAGTGTGGTAGAGTATGTGAGTCAGGTCACCCACATAGTGTGGTAGAGTATGTGAGTCAGGTCACCCACATAGTGTGGTAGAGTATGTGAGTCAGGTCATCCACATAGTGTGGTAGAGTATGCGAGTCAGGTCATCCACATAGTGTGGTAGAGTATGCGAGTCAGGTCATCCACATAGTGTGGTAGAGTATGTGAGTCAGGTCATCCACATAGTGTGGTAGAGTATGCGAGTCAGGTCACCCACATAGTGTGGTAGAGTATGCGAGTCAGGTCACCCACATAGTGTGGTAGAGTATGCGAGTCAGGTCACCCACATAGTGTGGTAGAGTATGCGAGTCAGGTCACCCACATAGTGCTACAAATAAAACCCCACATAGTCACCCACATAGACTAAATAAAACAACATGAATATAAGCATAATATAACACAAGTCTACGGTGATCTACAAGTGCTGAAGAGCACGATATCACCCGACTAAACAAAACATTTCCTCTGTGAGTGATGTGTGATGACTAACATGTACAGACACTGTGGCTGCTACTGTCAAAGTATATTACTTCCTTCACAATAATTCCCGCCACATCACATTCACTGAGCGATATCTCTGTACACTGTGTTGTTCCTGCAAACCTCGCAGATACTTGACAGTGACTTCTCAGTGTTGCAGGCTATCATGCTTTCAAATTCAAATTTGAATTTGAATACCTGACAGTGACCTCTCAGTGTTGCATGCTTTGAACCAGGAATATGTTTATTACCAGCTCTATAATCCATTATGTGCCTCTAACCCCTCCCACCACCGCCCCAGGGATGGGTATGGGGTGCATAATAAAGAAATTGAAATTGATTTGTTGGTCGGTTGTTGTGTCTCCCGTGTGCAGACGGATATGACTTCCGGGACCAGGAGGCTGTGGCATACGAGGCTAATGGGACCTATTCTGCCGTGAGTGTCTTCCCTCTCTCACTTATTGCCGTCTGCCTCCTTCACCTCGTCTGTAACTGTAGCCATCATGGGACTCCATCATGCTTGTAACTGTAGCCATCATGGGAGTCCATCATGCTTGTAACTGTAGCCATCATGGGAGTCCATCATGCTTGTAACTGTATCAACCATGTGAGTCCATCATGCTTGCATGTGTGTGTGTGAGTGTGTGTGTGTGTGTGTGTGTGTGTGTGTGTGTGTGTGTGTGTGTGTGTGTGTGTGTGTGTGTGTGTGTGTGTGTGTGTGTGTGTGTGTGTGTGTGTGTGTGTGTGTGTGTGTGTGTGTGTGTGTGTGTGTGTGTGTGTGTGTGTGTGTGTGTGTGTGTGTGTGTGTGTGTGTGTGTGTGTGTGTGTGTGTGTGTGTGTGTGTGTGTGTGTGTGTGTGTGTGTGTGTGTGTGTGTGTGTGTGTGTGTGTGTGTGTGTGTGTGTGTGTGTGTGTGTGTGTGTGTGTGTGTGTGTGTGTGTGTGTGTGTGTGTGTGTGTGTGTGTGTGTATTTGTAAAATCACAAGAGCAAATTATTCACTAAACTTTGCTAAATTATTCTCACAAGTTTATACTATTATTCTCACAACTACAACTTTGTTCTATTATTCTCACAACTTTGCTAAATTATTCCAAAGTAGTTTGCAAGAGTTTTGCAACAGAGTTTCACACTTCCATAATAGAAGCATTTGTCGACACTTCCAGGATGAGCATCCGTTGTTCATATCCCTCACTAGATGTCACTGCCTGTGTCATATACAGCACCGCTCTGTAGTGCTAATACTTAGATGGAGGTAGACTCTGTGACCCGAGTTTCTTATGATTTATCTTCACCAATTCTCTCCCCAGTTCCTGTTTGGTGACCGGGCCGTGGAGATCATTGAGAATCACCGTGACCCAACCAGCCCCTTCTTTCTCTACCTTGCCATGCAGAACGTCCACACACCGTTGGTGGTAGGTGAAAAGTATATAATAGTATTTATTTATCAATTTCTATGTTTCCTATGTATAAAAATACTCTCAAGTTCCATAATTCAATTCCATATTGAAATTTTTCATGTTTATAGGCTCTTCGATATTAGTTTAACATAATGTCATACCTCAGTTTGATTTTTTGTGGACTTGTTAATAATCAATGACTTAATAACTAAATAATATTTATATATTAACTAATGCTCATACATCGATGTTTGTTAGTACGAACGTATACAGCGTGGACACTTATCATTCAAGAAAAAGCAGGGCCCAAGAGCCGAAGCTTGATTTTGCAGGAGCAAATAGATGAATATATACCATAAACACATACACTCACATTTGATCTACAAGGAAAGACTGAGGACAATGAACCTTGCCCTCATAGAGAAGAATAGAGGAGACATGATTACGACACGTCAGATTCTAAAGACAAATGAGATATTAGACAAAGCAGAGTTCAAAGTTCAAAGAGAGTTCAAAGCTAAGAACAATAGAGCGAGGGGCACAGATGGGACTAGATACAAATTTATTTATTAATTAATTTATTTATTTATGTATTTATTTATATACATGAAGGTACATTGGGTTATGAGAGTACATAACATTGGTGTTCTTAATTCTTGTAAAGTCACTAACACGCGTAGCGATTCGGGCCTTAGTCTAACATAGAAAAATAAGAGTAATTAATAGGTGCATTCTAGCAGAATTTCCTTTCAATATAATAACTACAATAATGTAACAATTTATGGTATTGATTATACTGGTAAAGTTGCATATCTTCAGTTTTAAAAGTAGGTGAATGGGTAGCGAACACACTGTGAGTTTGAGGCACAAGGTAGAAGATACTTTTTGGTTTTACTTCTGAATAAACCATAGGTTGGACAAGTTTTTAATTCATTAGGAAGTAAGTTCTGGGTTCTTTTATTTGCATGGAGTGTTTGCACAGATTTAGTCTGACTCTGGGGATATCAAAGATATATTTATTTCTGATGTGGTGCTCATGGGTCCTATTACATCTGGCAAGTAAGAGTTTCAGATCAGCAGGATACCAAATGAGTCACAGATGTCAAAAAGAAGTTTTTCAACGTTAGAGCCGTCAATAAGTGTAATAGCTTAGGCGTAGAAGTCGTTTAAGCTAACTTGCAACAACATTTTCAATTAAATATGATACAAACGTGAATACATTTCATTAATCTACAAACGTTCTGAAGGTGGGACTCGGAGCCTAGCTCGACTCTACAATTTATACACATTAATTTTAAATTTGTCCGTTATAAATACAAAATAACATTCAAATTGTACATCTGTTTTCCACTGTTAAGTGGCAAATTAATTAAATTATATTAAATCTTTAAGTGTAAATTTAGGAAAACCTGTTCCTGTAAAAATTACTACTATTAGGCTTCTTGTACTTCAGGAATTCTAGTTTCTTTAGTAAATATTTTAGGACGATAGTATTCCAGGAGGGGGTAGCTCCTGGGCCACACTATCTCAGGTTTACACGGCTACAAGCAAACACAATTTTGCCTTCAGGTTCCGGAGGAGTACCTGGCCTACTACCCTGACGAGGCTGACCCTAATCGCCAGACTGTGCTGGCCATGGTGACGGTGCTGGACGAGCAGGTGGGGCGTGTCGTGGAGGCCCTCAAGGCCTCCGGCCACTATCAGAACACTCTCATTGTCTTCAGCACCGACAACGGCGGAACGAAAATTGGAGGTAAGAATACACCACCGTACGGTACCTTTAGAACACCAGTATACGGTAACTTTAGAACACCAGTGTACGGTAACTTTAGAACACCAGTGTACGGTACCTTTAGAACACCAGTATACGGTAACTTTAGAACACCAGTGTACGGTAACTTTAGAATGCCAGTGTACGGTAACTTTAGAACACCATTGTACGGTAACTTTAGAACACCATTGTACGGTAACTTTAGAACACCAGTGTACGGTAACTTTAGAATGCCAGTGTACGGTAACTTTAGAACACCAGTGTACGGTAACTTTAGAACACCATTGTACGGTAACTTTAGAACACCAGTGTACGGTAACTTTAGAACACCAGTGTACGGTAACTTTAGAATGCCAGTGTACGGTAACTTTAGAACACCATTGTACGGTAACTTTAGAATGCCAGTGTACGGTAACTTAAGAACACCAGTGTACGGTAGCTTTAGGACACCAGTGTACGGTAACTTTAGAACACCACTGTACGGTAACTTTAGAACACCAGTGTACGGTAACTTTAGAACACCAGTGTACGGTAACTTAAGAAACTTTGTAATGTATAATAATCACGTCTGCAATAGCCTACTGGACAGAGGATGTTCCAAATTTTGACCCACTACCAATTATTTAAACGTATCCTTAGTCATAAATAATACATTTATACATCTAGTTATGAGTTATAATACAGAAACTTCGTTACCTATTTTGAGGGAGTATTTTATATGGTTCGCAAGTTTATAATTTGTTCAACCAGTTCTCCTGATTAGATAGTAGTTTTTGTAACCATGTGCACATAGTACAGATTGCCGTCCTAAGCAATTAGCTAGTAGAATTTTGTACTTTAGAGTCGGAATTTTTTTTGGCTAAAAAACAAATATTCCTAGGCCTAGTATAGCACACATATGTACTATATTAGGCCTCAAATATATATATATATATATATATATATATATATATATACTTAGGTCTATAATAGTGTTATATTATAATATAATAATAGCTCAAATAATAGTGTTAGGCCTATTAGGATTAGGTTAGTTTTGTTTGTGATTGCAACATAAGTAGAAAATAGTTTTCCGGTTGAAGCGCTCCGCGTACTAGTGGCTCTACAAGAATGTAACAACTCTTGTATATATAAATAAATAATAAAGTTTGTCCGACTCAAAAGTGCCGATTTCTTCCTTCTCATGTCGTTGTACGTCGGTATATATACTATGGTCCTCCTCGAACAAATCCACAAGGGCCGTGACGAGGATTCGAACCTGCGTCCGGGAGCATCCCAGACACTGCCTTAATCGACTGAGCTACGACAGGGTAAAAGGGTTGAAACCCTTCATTAGTAGCTCAGTCGATTAAGGCAGTGTCTGGGATGCTCCCGGACGCAGGTTCGAATCCTCGTCACGGCCCTTGTGGATTTATTTATTTGATGCATCACGTTATTGTGATCTCTGTGTGTGATGGTCCTCCTCGTTACTATAAGTGCTGTCATAACAGGAGGATGGGCTGATTTGTTATATTACATCAGTTTTAAACATTCATTTTGCTTTAATATTGTCGGGTTAGCAACACACTGGAGCCATCTGCTATTACTGGTTGGAGAACTAGCAGTTCACCTCCGCTTGATCTGCCCTGACAGCGAGCAACTACCCGTTGAAGGGGAGCAAGATGACGCTGTGGGAGGGCGGCACCCGGGGAGCTGCCTTCATACATGGTCCACTTCTGGAGAACACTCCCAGGGTGCACGAAGGCCTCCTGCACGTCACTGACTGGTTCAACACCTTCCTGGCCATCGCAGGAGCCACGGAGCTGCCCAGTAACGATGGTTACAACCAGTGGGACGCACTGAGAACCGGAACTGTGCCCTCGCCCAGGAGCAAGTTCATCTATAACCTTAACGTTAACAGTGACAACAGTATCGAAGGAGCCATCAGGTGAGTTGATTCATGAACACCGCATCAGTTTCGAGATGGAATTAGTGACATATGGTGTGTTAAATGTTTCGGTGGGTAGTCAGTGTGCAACTAACACAAGTGTTGCACACATCTCTCCTTCCTCCGTCAGAGTCGGAGACCTCAAGTACCTGAAGGGGGTCAGCGACGACACTAACGACATGTCTTCTTTCTTATACAATATCTGGGGTAAGAACCACCACAACAATTATACTTATTATGTTATATACATTAACCTTGCACGACGCCATTTGTAATATATTTCGTATTGTGTCCTGCAGCGTATAGGTCCACACACGTCTTGATCACCCTTACCAACACTTGTATTAATTAAAATACTCAACTCACAATTTTATGAAAAGTTATGCAGATTTAATACAGATTTTGTTTTAATAATAATAATAATAATAATAATAATAATAATAATAATAATAATAATAATAATAATAATAATAATAATAATAATAATAATAATAATAATAATAATAATAATAATAATAATAATAATAATAATAAGGAAAAAATCATTTTGGAGCAATTATGGTACTAGAAGCAGCGTTGTGGCGACTCCCAGACATTTGCTGTAATCAACGTGTCAGAGATGATTAAAGCAAGTGTCTGGAAGTCATCAGAACGCTGCTTCAAGTCACCTAATTGCTCCAAAATGATTTTCTCAGTCTTTGTGTTGTTAATTATAGTAATAATAATAATAAATAATAACTCATTCATGCAATAAACAATACAGTGGATAAGTTAAAGTGGTTACATAATGGATACGCTGTAACTGTTTATTATATATTACTACTATAATGTAGTTATAGGCACGGGGTTAAAGTGGAGAGTAACTTAAGCATGTCACCATGACCAACAGCTGACCCTAACGAGGAACACAACCTGTTGGAGGTGGAGTGGCAGGTGGCCCTGGAGCTAGAGGCTCTCCTCCTGGCGGAGCTGCCGAGTCTACTACCCGTAGATGTACCGGACGCCGACCCGGACTCCGACCCCGTCAACTACGGCGGCGTTTGGACTCCAGGCTGGTGTGACCCCCTTTCACCTGAAGCACTACTCGCTTGAATGTTGATGAAATATATACTTGTGAGGAGTCTGTCTCTTGTAGGAAGCATAAATGGTGCCTCCTGGAGCAGCACTGTGCTGCCCCTTCTCTCCACTACGAGCGTCTGCCTCATGTCTCTACCATTTTGAGAAGAGAATTATATTGGATTAATGCCTGGGATATTAGGTAAAAAATGTGAATTTATATTTTGTTTATCTTTTGCCTTTACCAAGATTTTTTGTATATCAGCGTATTTATTTGATTGTAAAAATAATTGTTGCATATTTATAATTATTTTATTTTTGATATGATAAATGTCCCAAACCGTCGTCTCTAGTCAGATAAAATGCCTTAAAACTTAATAAGTAATATGTTCACTTAGACATGAACACACAGTTCCAGCACTGACGGGACATGGGAGGGACTCATCAAGCTTCATCATGTACATCTTCCCCAAACATGGCCGCCTAGATGACAGTTATTCAACAAAGTAAGCGTCCCGAAGTACTACGAACTCTTCTATAGCAATAATAACCTTGGGTTATTACCTTGAGATCGACCTCGCTGCGTTTCCCAGCTCGTAAATTGTTTGATAAATAGAAATTAAGTCGTCATGATTGAGGAAAGATGTATAGGTTTTGTAATTTAAGTGCTTGATAAATCATGGCCAGTAACGGGGCCGGATTCAGGAAGGTACTTACGAAGGTTTTTCTTCTTAGCTACGAATGTTTTCCTTCTTAGCGCCTTCGTGGCGGCTACGGCGGTATTCAGGTAGCTACACTAAGTGGAAAAACCTTCGTAAGTTCATTCCGGGATCGAAGTGTGGTTTCGACCACTCGTAGCTTTACGTAAACTGGATATAACTCAATTTTTCTCTACTACATAACACTGGGATCGATTTTAAGATTTTGGAACATAAACAAAAGATTAAAAAAATTGAATCTAGTGAAGAGGAGTCCTTCATGTTAGTTATATATGTATTCTCTGCTTGAAACTTAAAGTAAATATGTCTTTTATGATAGTAGAATTAGTTTTATAATAGCAAGATATTATACCCATAGTTATTAAGTAAATAAACACTGGTGAACATGAAATATGAGAGAAGGTGATGAGCCCTGCCTGATGGGATCATTTACTACTACCAAATGCCCCTGTTCACCTAGTAGTAAGAGTGTACCTTAGCTACTCATACCCATTTCTAATTTATTTAGTTTGGTTTTATTTTGAAATTAAATCTGGGTGAGACATAAAATAAAAATATGCTGCACAAATGATGTTAGGTAAATGTTAGGTAAGGAGAAGGGAAAAATGTCAAAAACTTTATTCATTGAATACTTAAAGCTATAATTATGACTATATAGACTATTCAAAAAAGAGAGAGGGAAGTAGGGGTCCAAGACCTCTTCCCGAGTCTATATATATATATATATATCAACTACGGCGGCGTTTGGACTCCAGGCTATATATATATATATACTATATGTTATGATATATATATATTTTACCAAGATTTTTTGTATATCAGCGTATTTATTTGATTGTAAAAATAATTGTTGCATATTTATAATTATTTTATTTTTGATATGATAAATGTCCCAAACCGTCGTCTCTAGTCAGATAAAATGCCTTAAAACTTAATAAGTAATATGTTCACTTAGACATGAACACACAGTTCCAGCACTGACGGGACATGGGAGGGACTCATCAAGCTTCATCATGTACATCTTCCCCAAACATGGCCGCCTAGATGACAGTTATTCAACAAAGTAAGCGTCCCGAAGTACTACGAACTCTTCTATAGCAATAATAACCTTGGGTTATTACCTTGAGATCGACCTCGCTGCGTTTCCCAGCTCGTAAATTGTTTGATAAATAGAAATTAAGTCGTCATGATTGAGGAAAGATGTATAGGTTTTGTAATTTAAGTGCTTGATAAATCATGGCCAGTAACGGGGCCGGATTCAGGAAGGTACTTACGAAGGTTTTTCTTCTTAGCTACGAATGTTTTCCTTCTTAGCGCCTTCGTGGCGGCATTCTACTTTGCTCTGATGAAGGCGAATTAGCCGAAAACGCGTTAAGCATTTTCTATTTTTCATATGTGGTTATTCTGCATATATATATATATATATATATATATATATATATATATATATATATATATATATATATATATTGTGACGATAATCTCTTTCAAGAGAGATTGAGCCTGCTCTTCCCTACTTCAAGTTGCATCAATTCTACAAGTACAAGATGCTACATTCAAGATACGTCACCAGTAGCACAAAACGTTTTGACCAGGAGGCAAAACGTACCCAAGATCCCCCCTACTCCACACACCCTCCATGCCAGCTCGTCGTCATCCAGCAAACTACCCATCCCAGCCTGCCTGCTCCTGATTGGTGACTCGCCAACCGCGCACCTGCACCTCAGCGCCATCTACATGAGTCGACGTCTGAGCCTGACCAGCCATCAACTTCAGAATATTCTTTGTGCTCTTAGAGTTGACATCTCTCTCTGGCATACTAAGCTCTCTGGCTTTCGTATACTAAGGGAGGTCTCAGCTAAAGCCGATATTTTCAGCACCATTTCACCATTATAATATTTAATCTATTGTGTTTTTGCATTTATCTTTGTCATTTTATTGCACCAGTCATTTACCCGAGATTTGTCTTTATTTTCATTTATGTTTAAAGTAAATATATTAAAGTTTCATTGTTCATACTTTGTGTTTTACATGTTCCTCCCTCTAACTTACCACAGACAACAGGCAAGCAGTCTATCTTTTTTTTTTTGTAAGTGTGACCAGGCATTGACACCTGCCATTGGAGGACTGCCGAACACCAACACTCCAACACTTTCCCGTCACAATATATATATATATATATATATATATATATATATATATATATATATATATATATATATATATATATATATATATATATATATATGTCGTACCTAGTAGCCAGAACGCACTTCTCAGCCTACTATGCAAGGCCCGATTTGCCTATTAAGCCAAGTTTTCCTGAATTAATATATTTTCTCTAATTTTTTTCTAGAGAAATGATAAAGCTACCCATTTCATAATGTATGAGGTCAATTTATTTTTATTGGAGTTAAAATTAACGTAGATATATGACCGAACCTAACCAACCCTACCTAACCTAACCTAACCTATCTTTATAGGTTAGGTTAGGTTAGGTAGCCGAAAAAGCTAGGTTAGGTTAGGTTAGGTAGGTTAGGTAGTCGAAAAAACATTAATTCATGAAAACTTGGCTTATTAGGCAAATCGGGCCTTGCATAGTAGGCTGAGAAGTGCGTTCTGGCTACTAGGTACGACATATATATATATATATATATATATATATATATATATATATATATATATATATATATATATATATATATATATATATGTATATATATATATGCAATTGACGATCACGAAACACTGATCATTTGAATGCTGAAAATCTACAAAGAAATTGGAAAGGAAGGTGAACGTTTCGGCCGCTTTACAGCCGTTGTCAACACCAGACTGACTAGGAGAAACAAAGGGAGGGTAGAGGTCAACACCTGAATATGACCACATATCCCCAGGTAAAGAATTACCCAGAAGCAGGTATAGATTTAGCTTAGAATAATAGGATTAAGTGGTCAGAGAATAAGGATGAAAGATTAAAGCCTCAATGAACACACAATATATGAATATAATATTGAAATAAGACATAGTAATCCTTTCAGAGTTATTTCTTAAACTGTTGTGCAATATTGTAACTTAAAAATGGATCAAGTTTGTACATACCAGTACTAACATTGATAAGATTTGTACACTGATTAATGCAGACTCGATCAAATTCCGTTCCACGAAACCACCGCAATTAGTAAAGCTTTTCGCTCCATCCCACTTAACAGTGTGATCACACAAACTCGTGTGTAGATACAATGCACTAGACGTTTGGGCAGTTCGAATACTATAAGCATGTTGGGACAACCGCAATTGTAAGGACTTTCCTGTTTGTCCAAGGTACACAGAATCACAATCATTGTAGATAATCGAATGCACACAACCTGCTGTATCAGAATTTTTTATTAAATTGGACTTGATCGTACTCTTAGTGAACACCATATTGATATTAAGTTTCTTAAAAACCGGGGAAAGTTTTTCAAGTCCAATCGCATAAGGTACCACCAATGAGTTTCTAATTTTTGGTTTCGCTTTCGGGACATGATTATAAAACGTACGCTTGGCTTGTCCGAACGAGCAATCCAAAAATATTTTAGGGTATTGTAAACTCTTCCTAATTTCATATATTTTTGTAATCACTTCATCAAAAAACTCTGGGCTGCATACCCTCAAAGCTCGAAGAAACATTCCTGAAAATACTGCCTGTTTAACTTTACTATGATGATTCGAATAATAATGAATTCATGTGAACAATAAGATTCACATGTGAGAATGAGGAGAATGGTACTCTTCCGTTTTTGGACATTATGATTCATAGAGTCAATAGAAAATTCAAATTTAATGTGTATAGGAAACCTACCAACGTGGGGTCGTACATTCATTATTATTCGAATCATCATAGTAAAGCGATAAACACCATCAATACATTCGATATAACAAACACAGTCACTAAGAAGAGTGTCGACGAAATACATGCAGACTTTGTTATGCAAGCCCCTTGGGAATCTCCGCCAGCAGACTTTAAGATTATGGTTATTGAAGGAAAAAAGAACCAGACAAATCCTCATCTGCTACGTAACATTGCACAGATGCATATAGAAGCAAACTTGGCATCCGACAGCTTCACTTACTTCACAGATGGATCAGTAAACCAGCAGAGACAAGAAACCGGAGCTGCAGTTAAGGCAGGAAACTCTGTAAATAGTTGGAAACCCTCAAATGGGTGTTCGACTTTACAAACAGAGATGCTAGCCATTTAAAAAGCTTTGGAACATGCTCTTCCTGAACACCGACAACATGTTATCATACATACAGATTCGAGAATTGCCACTGAAACCTTACGACAAGAACACATATGTGATAGCATACATCTGATCACAAATGTCATAAGCGGAACTTATTGCAGAAGGAGGAAAGACTCAAGGCAACTACAGAAGCAGTATACTGTCCCCCGAGCTCAAAGCGGCAGCTAAGAGCCTTCGTGAGAACAAGGAGATAATCGTCAGGAGAGGTGACAAGTCGCCAATATATGTCATTCTTAAAAAAGATGAATATCTGGCAAAAATGAACCTCATACTCTCCAACCAAACTAAATTCCAAAGGGTAACGAAGGACACTACAGCCGAATTGAAAACGAAGGTAAACAGATTGATCGAAACTGTGAACGGCAAGAAATCTGGACTCCACCTGCCAAAGGTTATTAGGGAATACAAACCTGGGTATGCGTATGGGAATGTCACGACCCGCAAGCCTGGAAACCCACTTCGGCCAATCATCAGCCAGATATCCACACCCACGTACAAACTGGCTAAGCGACTCAACGGCTTGCTGACTTCTTATGTACCTTGCGCTTTCAGCCTGAAGTCCCCAAAGGAATTTGTTGACTTACTGCGGGGAACACGGGTCACAGGGATAAGAGCCTCGTTGGTCGTAGAATCACTGTTTACCAACGTACCTGTGGATGAAACAATCAGGATGATAGCGGACAGAGTGTATCGTGATCCGACTTGTACTCCTCTGTATATACCAGAAAACTTACTGAGGAAACTACTCCAAGCCTGCACTAAAGAGGCACCCTTCTTGAGTCCAGATGGGCACGTGTATAAGCAAGTAGA